GGTGGGGGGCAGGACACGGCAGCAGGGGCCCAGAAAACAGAAGCCTTGGAGATGACTCGGAGGGAAGGCCTTCTCGACATCCATGTAGGTGTTTGAAGGGTCTGCTAGCCCAGGTCTGCTGTGTGCCACCTCTGCCTCAGTAGGTTGACAAGGATGAAAGGAAGTGAAGGGACACTGGGTTCCCCCTTGCAAGCTAGTATGAGGCAGAGAGAGGGACCTAGTCTGAGTCCTGTAGCCCTGGAGAAGGGAGCCTGGACCCCAGTTTCAAGAGGGCTGAAGAAAAGGTTCTGGGCTGTAGGAGGATGGACTTAAGGCTGGCTGCCTTGGCAGCACCTTGTCTATGCCTACCTGGGTAATCCAGGCTAAGCCCCACCTTGCAGCATTCTTAGTAACTCCTACAAACGAAGCCATCTTCAGTGTCTTCGGTCCTTGCTCAGTATCCCTAGAGTTGTTACTCAGCCCATTGCAGCCTCTTCACCCTCATCTTTGCAAAGACCGCAAGATGAAGTCACTTCACTTCTGGAAGCTGCCTTGGCACACCCTCTGCCTTTAGGAGTCACTTGAGCCTCTTGAGCTAGGATGCCAGTAGCCTCATTTTTTCTTGCTTCTCATTTGCCTGGCCTTAGATTTTTGAGCCCACTAGGTTCTATTCTGGAACCTCAGCCCTTGCCTGGTACATTCTCCCTCAACAGTCTGTCTCTTCTCAGATGAGAAAACCACCCATAGATTAGAAGAGAACTGGAAACCCGATGAGGGTGGGATGTGCCTTTACTGCCAGGGATTACTCTCTGAGACTCCTCACAGAACTGAGATGAATACAGTTAGAGCTTGCTCTATGATAGGGAAACAGGAAGAGGCACATGCACACACACTTCCAGATTTTTCTGGAATGCATAAGTACAGGGATCCTGGTTTCCCTAGCCCCCACCTTTGGTTGTCTGAACAGCACTCCTCACTGTTGTCCCTTCAGGACCTCCTGCCCAGCAGTCCAATAGCCTGGAAGCCCAAATATCCATCCCACCATGTCCTCAGCATAGTTATGGGTGGTGGATGTGTAGTCATGGGTGGTAGATGCGTAGTCATGATTACCTTTCAAGCCTGTCACAAACTGCCCAGGGAAAAGACAAAAGAGTCACCTCCACAGGCTAACAGGAATGCTGGTGGTGTTCCACAAAGTCTATGTTAGTCCTGGGTGTTTTGCTTAGGCAAACCCTGTCTGCCTCAAACCCATGGTTTCCAGCAAGATGCTGGGCCTGTACATCCTGTCCATGTGCCTTAGAGCCCTGGGTGGGGCCCAAGATCTGAAGTTAGGGTGCAGTGGGATTGTAGCCTGTGAGTCACAGTACATTTGTAAGAAGTGCTTCTGAGTTTGCCAGCCAGAGCCTGGGGGCTGAATGGTACCCTTAGCTAAGTAAGACAAAAAATCAGATGACCTGTTTGCCCAGAGTCTCCCAGGGCCAGATCCTCCCTAGAAAGGGTAATGCTATGTGGCAGCTGATAGGGTCCCATGAGGTAGGTGCTATTATCTTTTACAGTAGACAAACAGGTTCAGTGACAGGGTGTGGCTTGTTCTGGATCCCATACAAGGAGGCAAAGCTTGAGGAGCTAAGTCTGACACTTCTTAAGATTGGCTTCTCCCTCCTGAGGACACTAAGGGTCACACTGTCTTCTTGCTTCTCCTCTCCTGACGCGTCTGTTTCTTTGGGGGGTTTCCATGGGGTCAGGTTGGACTTGGCTGGGCAGGTTGGACATTGCTTGGAGAGCCTGGCAGAGGCACTGCCTAGGACTGTTGGCCACAGAACCAAACGGGACATCTGGCACCCTGCCTGGCCTGCCTAGCCCTTAGAGGAAGGACGGTAGGAGGAGTACTTTAAGCCAGGAGCACTCTTGTTCAGTTTCTGAAGCCAGCAAGTTCCAAGTATTCCTCACTGGTGTTTTCCTTTGTCCTCAGCTGGTTCATGGGACGGCGGCCTGAGTATACAGACCCCAAGGTGGTGGCCCAGGGTGAAGGCCGGGAAGGTAAAGCTGACATTCCCAACCCCAGTTGAAGGGAAGAGGTGGGCACCAATCCCCAGGAATCCAGGAAACATGTGGGTGAAGGCTAGCAAGCTGCCTGACAACTAGAACCCAAACAAGCCACCCAAAGAATTTTCTAGAACACCACCTACACAAGGGCTTCAGCAGGTGGTTTGCCATGTCTATCCCTGACAAACCCAACTAATGCTCACCTCATGTCTCCAGTGACCCGTGTCCGCTCTCAGGGATTTGTCACCCTCCTCTTCAATGTGGTGACCAAGGACATGAAGAAGCTGGGCTATGACACTGGGCCTGTGGACACACAAGGAGTCCTGGGTCCCAGCCTGCCACAGGTCAACCCACAATGAAAGTATCAGCCTTTCTGCCTGCCACTGGGCCCCAGGTGCCCCACAACCCACACACAATCAAGGACTCAAGCAGCCTGGCTGGGAAATGAGAGAGCTGAAGGTAGTTTTATATAATAAAGCATCAACATCTTTTTCAGAAATCCTGGGGCCTGGATTTCTTGCTTTCTCCATTAGCACTTCCCCAGCAGGAACTGGGGCTCAACCTCCCAGGACATGCTCCCAGAAGTGTGCCATGCTGGAGCAGAGGCCTCCCCAGGATTGCTAACCAACTTGCTCAAAGCTGAAATCCTATTAAGGATCTAAAACTTGTCTTCTTCCGCATCAGGAAGTTAGTCCCTTGCTCCATGGCTGGCACTGACTGTCACCATATTGTTCACATAATTTGCAAGAAGTGTCCTGGGGTACACCTGTCTCCCATCTTCCATTCCTATCTCTCACTTCCACCCTAACTCTAGTGTGTTGCCAGGAGCCTGTGGATAGTTTAAGAACCATCCCAGGCAGGAGGCTGTGCCACCAGTGCAACTTTCTGGCAAGCCCTACAGCCCAGCACCCCAGTATCCGAGGGAGAGCAACTGGGCCTCCAGTTTCCCCATGCATGCATATTGGTGGCACACAGCCTGGCATATACTGAGGCAGCTCCATCTAACCTCTTCTGCCCAGCAGACAAGCTGACCAAGGACTTCACCATGTTCAAACCACAGGCACATTGCTGCAAATGGCTGAGTTACTGGAACAAATGAGTCTTCACTTGGGCCAAGCCGCCTTTTACAACCCCTGCAACCCCCGCCCCAGCTGGGCTTTTGGAATATTTCACCTGTCAACAAAACTCCATGAATGGCAACCTCCCCTTGCCTTCTGAAGCTGGTCTGTCTCTTTACAACTCTATCCTTTCCTCGTACAGGGCCCACATCAGCTTTCCAGAGACTTTCTTTGCATCTCGACACTTCCCAAGGCTTGCTGGTGATACTTGGTCTCCACCAGCTGTTCTTGTGGATAGCCTCTTCCACAGCCTCCACACTTACAGTGATATTGACATCTGCACCCCAGGCATAGTTGCAGCAACTGCATCACCCAAGCATCTTTCTCTCACCAGTACCTCCCTCACGTGGTCTTCCTTTTGTCACCCACATGTACCCCCCATCTTAAATGCCTCCTCTTATCCCTGGGGATGCCACCTTCCAGAGGCCACACCACAAAAACCCTGCACGGTCTTTTCCCTGATATCTCATTCACAAGGAGCAGTCTGTCCTTCCTCAAGCTCACTGGTCTCTCTCAGCCTTCACTAAGCTCTTAGTTCAGGAGCCCCTCATGTCCCTCTAGATCTAACCCTATTTCATTACAGGTCTCTTGTTCAACACCCATGTCACTGGCCTTTTCCACCTCAGAAGCTCTGTCCCTTTCTAGTCCATTTCTGGCCTCAGACACTATGCGTTCCTCTGCCAAAACTTTTGACACAGCGGGCTGCCTTCTCGTGTGCAAATGTCCCTTTCTCCAATACTATGAAGCTACTTAAACACAGAAAAGTTGAAGTGACTTTACAATGCATAACATAACCAGCATCTAAAAATTGTGGACATTTTCCTGCAGTCAGGGTTCTGTGTCTGCAGGTTCCACAAATAGAAATATGCAGACTCTTCTTGCCCCCACCCCTTAGTGATCATAGCAATCATGCATCATTTTCACTGTGTTTGGTGTTACTAGAGGTGACTTAAAGTACAGGAGGACATGGGGTAAGCACAATGCAACAGGGCATTTGAGTGTCCTCACATTTTGGTGCCCTGGTAGGGCTCTAACCACCAGGGCACCAAAGGGCAGAGACTGTATTTGCATTTTCACATTGGTCCATCCGACCTCTCCTCCACTTGGCATATCACCTGCAGCATGTATATCATTAGCCAGAGTTCTGTACTAGTTATTAATCTTTCAAGTGAACATTTACATTCAACAAGATGCATACATATCTGTGCTGTATGAACATTTTCAACAAATGCATACCCCAACCCTAATCAATGTCCCGCGCGCTCTGTATTTCTCGCCAGCAAGAAATCATACACGGGACACTCGGATCCTTCTGCAGACAAGCTTTACTGCATCTTGAGTGTGGAGAGCATAAGCTTCCCAGAGCGGAGACACTGAGCCAAGAATCCCGTCCCCTAATAAAGGCTGGCAGCCGCCGCCTGGGACGTGTCACCCTATGATTGGCTGTAGCTCATCCGGCCATATGACGCCACGGAATAGGCAGAGATCAAGGAATGGAAAATTACCCAGCGCCTGCACAATAATCTTGTTTACATTCGGTGCCTGCCGGATGCAGGCGCCATCTTGTAATGGAGAATGCAGGGACGGCTCCCTACAAATCAAGAAAGGTAGCATCACCTAAGAGCCTCTGGCACACATGCCATCAAGTTGAGAAACCAAGCAGTGAAGAACTTCGAAGGCCAATGGCTGGAGCATGTCTGAAATGTGGGAGGGTGCCAGCCATGAGACCTTTATGTGTTGTGTTGTCTCCCTGCCCCCAGTGTTTCTCTGCATAGCCTGGGCTGTCCTGGAACTTGCTATGTAGACCAGGCTGGCCTTGAACTCAAGAGATCTGCCTGCCTCTGCCTCCTGAGTACTAGAATTAAAGGTGTGCACCACCGCCACCACCCAGCAACATGTGACTGTTAAGATACATGAAACCCAGGTTTTTCCTCCACTCACTGTCACACAGTGTGTTTACCAGATTGTAAACTTTTTCACAGTCAAACCATTAGCTACATCTCCTAGGTTTCTTGTGTCCCACTGGTAAGCTCACAAAATGCTGAAAGCTTGTTCACCATATAGGAAGCCTGACCCCTTAAACCTCCAGAGTGCCCTGCTCTTGTCCATGAAGCCCTTGGAGGCCCACAATGAAG